ATAATATATAGACTTTTTTAGTCTGTTTTCTTCAGTGGTGCTTTTCAGCTAAATGAGTCGTCTTGAAAACTGCCTTGAAAATGGCTGCTAGGTATTTTTTTTCTTTTTCATTTTGGCGCTACTATCGTAGATTCTGGACACTGTTAAGAAACCAGTAAGGATCGCACCTTAAAGATGTGATCTTCTAAAAGTTGTGCCTAAAGCAGTTAAGTTGCTGAAATTCAAACTAGATCACAAGTCACATTATGCTTAGACTTGGTTCAATTTTCAACATGTTTTCATGATGACTATAACCACCAAGTTTTATATTACTGTTACTGGGAATTTTCTATAATGTAAAGTTGTTTGTGACTCAGTGCGCAAAACCTTAGCGGGTGATATGAGGTTTAAAGCTTAACTTTTTATCAGTTTGTGACAAAGTGGTCAAACACCCATAGCAAAATTCCAAAGTTAATGGCAATCAGAAGGCAAAATGTTGTTCTTGTCTAGTAGTTTTATTTTAAAATAATTCATTTTGCTAGGATTTTTATGTTAACAAATATACAGACCAGAGTTTAAAATGATTTATCTAATTGATTCCTTTTGTTACCTGGCTAGCAGGGAAAAGGGGTCGAGGCCGGTCCTGACCTGTTACAATGAAGACTGACTTGCTATGTGGGATTACACCAGAAGCTTGCAGTGGAGTAATGGTAAGGATATCAAGCAACCTTAAGTATCTCAGCTGTATAGGAGCATATTCTGTTGCAAAAGACCTTCCTGCGAAGATCATGGAATCAAATATGGGACATTTGAACTAATACTTGGACTTTGAAATGAATTTCTTTAACAGTTTTCTCTGCAGTGCAAGTTATTAAACTAAAGCTACTCTTTTTCCCCAATGTGTTCAACAAAATCCTTAACGTCTAGCATGGTATCTTAATAAAGAATAAAGTTGTTCTTTAAAAAATCTGCTTTAAGTAGATTTTTCCCCCAAGTTTTCTTAGTTAAGGATTCCAAAAGTGGTATTCACAAATTCTTGCATTTAAATTTTTATTGCAGTGGTATGGATGAATACCATCATTGGTATCCTTAAATTTTATTTCTGCTCATGAAGGTTAATCATGATTGTCTATATAGTAATCACTTATGAATTGTGTTCAGATACAGCAGTTTCAGGTGTAATCATCAGAGCTGGTTAGTCAGGCATTCCAGATAGTGGTTCTTTTCAGAACCTTTTTTAAAGGGTTGGTTAACTACCTCAGTAGCAGAGGATTGAACTATACCCTGTCTGTACTGTACATAGAAAATCTTTGTAGATAAAAGCAAGGCTTGTTTAATATGATATGAGGGTAAGATTATAATATACCAAATGTAACATTCTTAGTTGCCTTTAGTTCCAGAGGCTTTGTAAGACTTCCTCATGACCATCATAACAGGCCTTGCTTTTGTCGTATTTTGTGGCTGAAAAAGCAGCCTTGCTTCTTCAGATATTGTAGTTATTTGGATGTATAATAGTTTAGCAAGATGTTACTTTTGTAAGACATCAGATGTTCAAAAAAAGTGCATCAGCAACTTGTACTAAATACTGCAGTGTCCCTTTATAAAAGGTCAGACTAAAACTGACAACTGTACAGTGAAGCCTGACATTTGGATATTTTGAAGTTTTTCATAAATCATAGAATAGTATATGGCTGTAGTTTAGCTTTTTAGGTAAAAGGTATGTTTTCATTAGTGCATTTCTTATTGCTGATCACTGTAAAAACATGTGGATCAGCTTTCCATTTCTCTTACGCAGATCATGATAACCTGTAGAGTAGAGTAGAGTACAATCATTTGTGCTATGTTTTTAATTTTCTAAAGCACCTTGATGACAGTGAGTGTTCAGTGGTGAAGCATCCTCTATTGAACCACCCTTAAAAAAGACAAAGCAAAAACAAAAGAACCTTGCCAAGTTCAACTTCATATAGGTAAAAGACAGATAAATTACCACTTACTTTGGACTTGGCATAAAGAGCTTCCCTTAACCCCCTACCCAAAGGGATACTGCAGTTATACTACATACCCATAGGCACCACAATGAAAATTGAAGCTTATACCTAATTAAGGTTTTATACACACCAGTTCCCCCAGTAAATGCAAATTTTAACAAAATTAGACGTCATATGTTGAAAATGCTCATGGCAAACAATCATTTTGCATTTTTTATTCCTGCAAATAAAATTGTTTTATACTGTAAGCTGGAGGCGAGTGTAACTTATTTTTGTAATAAAGTTTTTATTTTTTTTATGTGTCATTAATATAAATGTGTGTTAGTACAGAGATCTTCTGGTTAAAAACTTAGAATCGCACACATTTCAGTATGTTTACTTGTATTTACATAATTTTTAGAATAGTGGTTGCCAATAGCCTGTATGTTTCACATTAATTGATTTTTTTTTGTTATCTTAATAAACCATTTTAGTATGTTGTATGTCAATTACTGGGATAGCTGGGACATGAAGTGTAATTTAAAATTGTCAAGTATTCATTGGAATATGTAAATGTGCCTTGCCAGTTTTGAACTTTAAGACAAAGTAAGTGAATGATGGTGAAATAAGTAGTCAATGCGTAAGAGATGTTTGCTACCACAGTTTCGTATACTGCCCTTGCTAAAGAAAAGTAACTTTTTCCTCAAATTTGAGCATAAAAGTATATAGTTGCATTAGCTTCTGAATTTTCAAATCTAGTGATAGAATATTAGGCTTATGGAAAGTGGGTTTGCTAATTGTAGCCTTAAGTATCATTTTGAATTTCAATGTAATCCTTGGTGCTGGCATTCCCAGTGCCAAGGAGTTTAAATGCTCCCTTCAAAGAGGTTGCCATGCCTACTGGCACTTTTACTGTCATATGGTTTTATAAGGAACACTGTCAAGATGTGGAAACCAATTTTGAACTTTCTATAAAATGAAAACACAGGAGGCTGTAGGAGAGAGGGGAAGTCCTCAGATTTGTTACTCTTGAAATCTCTCCATTGCTGAAAATCTTAAAACGCTTGTGAGATCACAAGTGCTAGCGACTAGTTCTTAGTCTGGAAACGTGTTGGGGTGGGGGATAATATATTTATGGAATTTTAACAGTTGATGGAAGTGCATAAAAACATAGCTATTAAGGCACTGCATGTGTTGAAATTGTGGATCATATCCTTAATTTCAGCTCTGATAAAAGCATGGGGGACTATTTTTTTTTTTAAGAAAAAAAAAAGGAAAGAAAGAAAAAGGCAAAATTGACAGAAAAGTGTTTTTAATGGAATGCAAGCAATGGTGAGTGAGCAAAACATCAAGATCTTGACAGTGTTCCCTCGAAGTATGAACTCAAGCCATTATAACTTTTAAAATTAAATATGATTTGCACTGTTCTGATATTGGTGCGGTTTTTTAGCAAAATGATCAGAAAACTAAATTGCATGTGGTGATTAATATTGTGGAAAAAAAAACCCTAAAATCAGAAAATGTTATTTTCAAAGCTTTAAATTTGTGTAAAGAAAAACCGTTCATGAAGTATGGAAATACTGATGAGAATGGGCAAGTGCATATAACAACAGCAGTCTGGTTGCACTTGGGTGTTGGTAAACTTGAAATGTTCTACAGCAATAATGCATCTCTTACGGGGTGATTTGGTGACAAACAGACGTAAAACACACAGTTCTTTTTGGCATGTTGAAGGCAAGTGCTGAAGTATTGTGCTGCCTCTGTGTTCTCGTAGGAGGCTTTACTTTACTGAAAATCCTGCAAAAGTTTGAGTAGAAGCTAGCATAGTTCCACATTGGTTTGTAACGTGTTCCGAAATTTGAAGCCTAGTTGAATTTTATAAGAAATCAGAAACTGCTGCTGCTGCTTAACACTTCTGGTTTATAAACACTCCAAATACACAGCTTTTTGAAGTATAATCTTGTTTTAATATTCATTTTTGTTTGAAGGGTTTCATATAGGACATACAACTGTATTTATTTTATTTTTTTTTTTAGTTTCTAAAGAGATGATTTGTTATGACCCAGAACTTAAGTTTGTGTTTTTAGTGTTTGGAGGAAGGCTGTTGTACAGCATTGTACAACTCTTACCTAAACACCATCTTAAAATCTAAAATAAGGAATATAAATTCTGTTCTTCTCGGGGGCGAAGGGTATAACATGGTCTAAAAGAAACTTAGCCTCCTCTGAAGGTAGGGAATCTCAGTGTTTCAGGACAGAAATTTTACGTATAGCTGCAGCTTTTTTCCCTTGTGCCTTTGATAATTCTTCAGAGGCTTAATGTTTCTACTCGGCCTAGCAGTTATTTTGATGCTTCCATCTATCAGTGAGGGGAGACTTTTTTTAAAGAGATAAAACTGAAAGGCAGCATGGACATAAAGACATGTAACATTTTCTGAAAAGAATGTTCGAATTGATACAGTTCACACAACTAAGACTGTTACTTCCTCACTTGCATTAGTGAAAACTTAGTGGAAAATGTTGACTGTTTAAAATGGAATACCAAGTTTTGGAAGTAGGCAATAAGGCAATAAACTTTACAGTGTAGTATTCTGAGAATTGAAATTGGCAAAGTTGGAGCTTGAGTTCTTTGCGGAGTGTCTTGCTGAATTAACTCCAGCACCAGCATGTGACATGTCTTGGCTGGGGCTAGCTAGTTGCATTAGTTGGGCAGAGGAAACACCAGATTTTACTTTGTCATTTGCTCTGTCAGATAAAAATGGTATGTGGCAACAGGAGAGGAAGTGGAGGTGAAGATTCCTTGATCCTCAATACAGGTTGTCAGGGAAGAAGGAATAAATTAGTGTTACTTTACAGCCATCTAGTGCAAGCAAACATAAAGCTTCCCAGAAGCTCTGATTTTTTCAGTGTTTTTCTGGCAGATGGATTTTCACAGTCACTCGGTCAGCATTTTGCAAGTTTTTAGTTATACTTGTGTTACAAAATGGACAGGATGAAAGGGTGACTTTTCTTTGGTGCTCCTTTGCCTTGGCTGTTAAAATAGATGGATTTGTTGAAAAGTGCTGATAGGACTAGCTTGTTAGTTTACTTGGAATTTGGAGAGAGGGATGATTGTCTCTTGTAATGATATCTTTTTCTTGCCAATATATAACTGGTTACTAGTTTTTTCCACAACTGTACATATTTTTAAATGGCCAGCTCTTCAGTGGGTGTTGCACAGCTGAGCTCATGTGGAAACATTGAGTTATATTGATTATTTAAAGCTATCTTCATGAAAGCGTCTTTAGATGGTCCGACTTCCAGGTACCTGGTAAAAACTCTTAAAAAAAGGGGGGGGGGAAAAACCCCACATCTGTGACAGTCTAGAAAGCAGTCATAGTATGTGGATAATTAAATACAGCTTGAATATTCAAAGTTTGAATTACAAGATACATTTCAGTTCAAAGAGTTGTTTCCTTCCTGAATGTTCATGAAACTTAGTGTCTACTCCAAAGCCAGCACTTACTTTCTGACAGTCATTTAGGTAAAACTTGCTGTGTCAGAAATCTGGATTCCCTCTAGTCTGAGAGTGACACATTTGGTTGATTAACGGTGACAGTTCACTATCTCTGCACAGTTAGTGTGACAACACAGTTTCACTTGTTTTGGTAATTAATGTGTGGAAAATACATTGAATCTTGCTGCTTGTTTTCTTTGCACTAAGGAAGTTCTGAAAGGCATTCTTAGTTCTGCTACACAGCCAGTAGAATAGCCTGTGCCCTTTGACTGCACAGAAGATAATGGTAAGTGAAAATAACATTCTAGTACTTAAATGACTTGCAGTACCTAAAATCCAACTTCAGTAGACTGTTTGACTCCTTATCTGCAATTACTAGAGAGGTTGAGAGTTTCAACTCTTCAATTTTAATGTGTCCACTTCAAAGCTAAGTGAATGTTGAGTGTAATCTGCTACTGTTTAATGTTAAATACTTTAAATCTAAAAATCTCCAAAATGCTTCACAGGTAATTCGGTATGTATTTTTAAACTGATGGATCAGCAAGCGTAGTAGTTAAAGAGATTTTTCCATGAACATAGTCAGTCATCGAAAGCCAGGAGCTGAATATATCAGGTCCTGAGTTCCTAGTTCCAAGTGTAGTGTTTCCATTATTGTTCTGCCATCCAAAGTAAAATTGTTTGATTTTTTTTTTCTTTTAGTGGGATGAAGAATGTACCTAATTCTGTCACTAGCAGTCGTTATTTAAAAACTGTATTACTAAACGTAGCTAATTTGGGATTAAAAAGCTTCCTCTGTGAGAATTCAACAAAGGCAGTTTTAGAGATATCCTATTAGTAAATCAGGGCTTTTCTTATGGTGCAATTTCAGCATACTTAAGAATGAAGCTCTGTATTGCAAAAGACTAGTGAGAGCTAGCCTAGAAAATTATAATTAATTTATTCGTAATGCAGATGCATCACAGAAGGTGATTTTAATCTTTAATATTACATCATTTGAGATGACAGATACAGTTATGTAGTCCTTGCATCAGGAAAAGCTGAAGTGGCTAATAAAGGACTGTTCCTGCTCCAGATTGTGGCCAAAGGCTTCCTTTGGATAGTGCAAGGAAGCCTTTTTTCTTCCAATGCAAACAGTTGTTCTAACATGCTAAGCTGTTTCCAATCCATAGTTTTCAACAGAATTTTTGAGTTTTGCATGTGTGCTTAAATTGGTATTTTTAGCAGAAGACTAACTAACCTCCAATGACAGTCACTTGTGTATGTGAGTAGTACTTTCACCAAGAAGTGACCAATATGTAACTTTGACTTAAACTGTCTAGTGAAACTGTCCTTTATTCTTATTACCTACACTTTCACAGAAGTATGTTACTTTACACTTGCTTTTGAATTAGTGGGATGCTTAAAAGCTACTGCGAAGAAAACTATGGCATGCACATTGTTAAAACCTCAGAACTTGCAAATGAAGAAATACACTGCAGGTGTCATGCTAACAGAAGACTAGACTTGACTTATAAAGGGGATTGTATCTTCTCTCACTGGAAATCCTAAAGGTGCCACAAGCTTAGGTGGCTTTAAGGTTTAGCAGTGAGCACAATGGAAGCTGGATTCATGTAGTTGAGTAAGCTCTGCTCCTTTGCTGTCCTTTGTTTTCATAATGCTAACATAATCTCAGAAAACCCATCCTGTTATGGGATTAACTCCAGTGAGATCAATCTTCCAGTTAAAATTAAGAAAGATCTGGAAGGTCTTAAATTTGTTAGATTTAAAATAACTTGTTTGTGTGTCGTTTGCAACTTGGTTTTGCATAGAAGTAATCTTAAAATGGGAATGGTGTAATAAATTGTTTTGCATTCTTTAATGGTATACTAATCTGAAATAGATAGTTTGGTTGGTTGATGTTCTGAGCCATTCATGTGGTCAGGATTCTATCTGAGAAGACCATCTTAATGTTTGTAGGACACAAACTGATCAGCGAGTCTCAGACACAGTAGTTGTTTCTTTGAGGTAGTTGGTCTTCTCTTAGGTTAACTTGAAATCAGTAGAGATTTCTAATAGGAAG